CCTGATTAAAACCGTGCCTTCAGTCCTCGTCTTACTCTTTACCAGGATTTAACTTAATTCGTAACGATCGCATTGGTTGCGGCGGAGATGGCGTTGCTATTTACGATCCCATATACCATTCTCAATAGTTAGCACATCCTCTCAATCGCTATCCAATGCTGGTGAGCACGTTTTCGTTGAAGTTCTCTTTTCTCATACTAAACTATTACTTGGTGTCTACTATTGTCCCTTTTGTTGTCTCTTTGCATTAACTGTTTTGCTTCTTTTGAAAAACTATTAGAGGACTTCTCGCCTTCCTATGAACACAGCATAATTATGGGTGACTTTAATACTGCAGTATTAATCTGCAGCGCAATTTTCGTGGAATTCATTTGGACTGTTTGCGGAGTGATGCTCGTGAAATTGACTGGGGTAACGTTGTTAATGCTGTATCAATCGATAGCAAAGTGTCTGAGTTTAACAATACATTGATGAACCTTTACGATAAACATGCATCAGTACGGCCAGTTAAAATGAAACACCTCCCTGCACCTTGGTTAGACCAAAATGTTAGGACTGCTATAAATAAAAAGCTCACAGCTAAGGCCAGATTTAAGTACAGTCCTACAGACGAAAATAAGCGCATCTATAATGAGCGTCGTAATCACTGCAATAAGTTGTGTAGGGATGGACAACGCCGACATATTCATAGTTCTTTAGAAACTGATGATCTGGCTAAAGTCTGGAAGTTTCTTAGGCCGCTGGGAGTTAGTAAGTCACGTTTCCCAAAAAATTTAAACCTTGATGCTCTTAATCATCATTTCTCTAATTCGGTTGAGTCCGACGTACCTTAAATTATCTTTCCACGATTCCAACTGTCGACCATCCTTTTTTTTAAAAAAGTTTACTGATGATTGAACTGATATTAAGAAGTGCATAGAATCTATTTCGTCCAATGCTGTTGGCAGTGACCATATTAGTCGTAAAATGTTTTTATTCATACTTGATGAGATTTTACCTGTGATCCGGTATATTCTTAATTTTTCTATCAGCAGCGGGGAATTTCCTTCCCTTTGGAAGGAAGCTCTCATTGCTCCTCTCCCGAAAAAAGCCAACCCTTCTAACTTTTGTGATTTCCGACCTATTTCTATACTTCCCTTTCTATCAAAGCTGCTAGAGCGACTAGTTCATAACCAAATTACTCCTTTTCTCATACGTAACAACCTTCTTAATCCCTTTCAATCCGGCTTCCGACCAGGACACAGCACTGTGACTGCTCTTGTTAGGATCACTGATGACATTAGGTATGATATGTCGCAACAGCAACTCATTGTAATGTCATTGCTTGATTTCAGCAATGCTTTCAATAACGTTGATTTTGACATTTTGATTGCACTTTTACGCACTCTTAACATATCTCCAACGGTAATCTCTTGGTTTCATAGTTACCTGCATGGGCGTCGGCAATGTGTTCGCATTGATGAGAGGTTCTCTCCTTGGTATGACATCAGTGCTGGCGTTCCACAGGGCGGCGTTTTATCTCCTCTTCTCTTCTCCATCTTCATTAATTCAATTTCCCGCAGTCTTACCTCATCCTACCTTTATGCAGATGATTTACAAATTTACACTCACCGGCAACTTGAAAACCTGTACGAAGCTATTGAGGAAATCCTCCGTCATATTTCGACGTGGAGTAAACAATATGGTCTCAAACCTAACGCAACGGAAACGCAAATGATTGTTATTGGCAGCTCTAGAATGGTATCCAAGATAGATTGGTTTCGCTTGCCGCAGGTCATTAAAGACGACACCTACATTAAAATTAGTGACAATGTAAAAATCTGGGTATACTCATTGATAGGCAGCTATCTTGGGCACCTCAATTAGTTGAGACCAGCCGCAAATTGTTTGCGTCTGCCGCATCTCTCAGACAGTTATACGTAATTTCTTACCTATTGCCATGAAAATTGCGCTTGCCCAAACTCTTCTCCTCCCAATTCTTGATTATGCTGATGCCTGCTATCTGGATTTCTGATTTTCGAATCAATTTTTTTTTTATTAGTAATTCTTCATACACCGCCGTTTTTTTCCTGTGAATTTTATAATTACTTCCATCCAAAGGTTGTCTGGCAGAAATCTCTTAAAGCGATAAGACCGCCCATTGTACCACCGCTTATTTTTAATTTAATTATATTGTATTTGTATCCTTTTTTGGTGTACAATAAAGAATTTTTGTATTGTATTGTATTTTTTATGTCTATCTGACAATTATTTTAGTATCCTCTGTCCAGTATATCTTTTTTTTTTTTCATGGCTACCGAGTACATTTTGAAGAGTTATAACAAGCATTGTATTGAATGCAAGATGTGTCTCCGTTTTTGTCAAAATTTCATTATGAAGTCAAATTGTGGCTAGGTTTTGTAAGTGTTATTATAAAACTATTTGTTTTCGAATGCGGGATATCAGACGGAGGTATTACCCATTCTATATACATCACTCGAAGTTTAGGTAAATATATTTTCCTTATTTCAATCACCCTACGGAACCCATTCTGCGAATAAAGTTAAATTTATTACCAATCTGGTACGTAGTACTGAGTACTTACATAATAACTCTTTATATGTATATACAGGGCGACCGTTAACGATCTGCTAAATTTTCAAAGGTAAAGTGTCTAATATTTCATAGGTAAGCAAATTACTTTTGAAATATTTAAGCCGACTCACCGGAGGGAAGCGGGAAAAACTACTTTTGGTTTAGGTATTTTCTATTAAAAAACGATCTTAAAAAATATACGATATACTTTGTTTCAATCCATTTTAAACAAACAAGTCACTGACCCGAACATAGACTGTTTAGTGATGGCCAACTGTAATACCAACTACAAATCGATTAATTAATTGAATGAATCGATTTAATTAATTGAGTCATATCAGCTGTTTTCCTTACATAAAAATAGTGGAAATACATAACCTATAAAAGTATATGTTTAAAATTTCCGATATCTTAATTTTAAATCCTCCTTCAAATCCTTACACTTATATCGTTCGATTGTTATTGAAATTTTCGATTTACTAATCAATTACAAAAACTTTAATTGAATGGACCGAATGTTTTTTTTTTTCGGACAGTGCTATGCAACAACAGACAAGTCATAGAAGTATAAATGAAAAATAACCTCACTTTTGGATTACCATTTATCAATTACGGTTTTACGATGCTATTCAAGTGAATATTGTTGGAAAATGTGACGAGATATCAAGTCGAAATCTTCGAAATATACGTGAAAGTGTCACTTATTCGATTTATTGAGTGATTGCTTTAGAATTTTAACCGAACAGGTTTGGTTACTTTTTGTTTAAAACGATTTGGAACAAACTATACACCTAAGGATATTGTCTAAACCTTAGAATAATAACGCATAAAATGATAGTTTCATATCAAACGAACTGTCGCAAGTGAGGCAAAAATTAAATTCATGTAGGCTAGTTTTAGTAGTAGGTTAATTTTCGGTTTTAGTGAATATTTATATAAAAATACAAGTTGAAACGCGTTACTTCCTTGTGGAATGTGATGTTAGTATCTATTTTATGTTTGTCTGACGTATTTTTACACTCATTTACCGCACATTTCGTCATTTTTATCTAAAATTCTGGAGCTGTTCGCGGTGTAAGTTGACCTTGAGCACTGACGGCCCGCCCGCTCGTGTAGGCCCTTTGGGAGCGCTTCAATTTGCCTCACTTAGCGTGTGCGGGCTAGGTTTCTATGCGTTATTATTCTAAGGTCTAAATAATGTGATAATGTCTGAGGATTTACTTTATCCGGTCATATAAAATCCTGAAAACATGCTTAAATAAAAGTTTAAAAACGAATTATTCAAGAATAAAGTAACTAACTTTGTAGATAATTTTTATATGGAGATATTTATTTTTAAGTACTACAGAAAATCTGCTAAATTTTGGTTTTCAACTGAACCCTATTAGTTATTAAATTCACATTTATCCTAAAATTTGCAAACTGCTCAGAGGTTTAACGACACGCTGTGCTGGCCACTGCCCCATCAGTCACCAAATTTGCTCCACCTGTTCTTATTATCTTAATACCTCGCCTTAACGCAAAAACTCCGCTGGTGGGTTGACCGCGCGCCCTTCCCTCGAACCCCCTTATTCCGCGATCGTATCTAAGGTCGCTCACACGCATTAGTTACCTCAGATTTTTATTATAACTGAATGGTACTTGAACTTACAACACACACTCCAAAGATTTTCAAGTCATTTTATTAGCTGAATCCATAGTAGCAAAGTCTTCACAACGTAACATAGATAAATTCAAAAAGAAATTCGTATATATATATCCTGTCCTGTGAGTTTGTTAATATTTCACAAATGATCCTGTATATGTCGCAGCCGTATTGTATAAAGCGCCGTATTATATAACGGCTAGCCGCTTTGCAAAACGGCACTGTTTTCTAATATGGCGTCCTCGTGTTCAGCCGAACTATGATCATGATACGTTTCATGAAGCGGCGGCCATCATTTAGCCGTATTATTCACGCGGAATATGACACCCTGACTATGAATCACCATTTTTATTGTTATGATAATGCAGCGCTATTGGCGGCTATATTTGGAACATGTATCTCAAAGCAGCGAAACAATGACACATTTTTTAGCCGCTTTGGGAAACGCCACATGCTATTACAATGCAGCATACTTTTTTAAAGGAATTGCAATCCCGCTGACCACGAGGTAGCCGTATTACAAATTGGCGCCGTTTTGCAAAGCGGCTAGTCGATTATGTTATACGGCGCTTTATACAATACGGCTGCGACATATACATACATAGATTTTATGTTCTCATTAATTTCTTTCATGATCTTAATAAGATTTGTTATATATTTTGTCATGCTATTTATACGGTAATATTATAATAAAAATGTCGTCCTGTACATGTAATCAGTAAATATCGCACGCCTTTTGAGGTTATCCAATAGATATAATACAACTATGCAAACGATTTATATCTAGTCTTTGCAATGTCCATAAAGAGAGTGCTTGTGTTCTGGTAAGTTTTGTTTAATTATGAGTGAAAGTAGTTTTAAATATAAATAATAGTTTTTTCGACAATATTTATACTAGTTTGTTTCGATAGATTAATGTATTGTTATTGTGGAATAACTGCCTCGGTAGCCGAACGGTTAACATGCTGGTGTCACGCAAAGGTCCCGGGTTCGATGCTCGGGCCGGAAGAAATATTTAGCTTACATTTATTTCTCTCATGAGTTTGTGTGTAATTTGTGGTTGTCAATGTGTATATCCATGGCACTGCGACACAGGGTTTCCCTAAGAAAGTTAAGTTTCAAAGAAAATTAAGTTTATAAAAAGAATAGTAATAGAAGTACTGCCACCTATTTCTGCCGCCAAGCAGTAATGTCAGCATTACTGCTTTCCGGGACATGGGACTTGACAACTTATGTCTTATGGGGCCGGGCGCAGTGGCAGTGCCCCTCAGATCCTTATGATTTCAAGTTGTAGCTTAAGATCAGGCGCACATGTTCGCCCTATCACTTGGTATAAAAAAAGGGCGTCGTGTATGAGAAATCTTTGAAAGTCAATATTCAAAGAAAATTAAACTTACAAAAAGAATTATAAAAAAATATAAAATAATAATTATAAGAAAATATATAATTTTTTTTTATTCAAATCGTAAGGGACACTAGTTTCTATGACTCGTGACGGGTTAAAGACTCTACGATAAGTCGATAACTTTTTTATCCTTAAATGTGAGAGCCATAAAATTTCACGTAATCATGCGTGATTTGCGTCATGTACCCCATTGACTTACAATTGTATGGACGTCGGGTCCGCGCTAAAAAGTGTCCGAACTTATAGGGCGTTAAAATCGTATACAGAGCGTCATTCACGCTCTAGTCTTCGTTTGTTCGACTGACAGCGAAGCAAGCAAAATTAGACAGTACTGCGATGACATTACAATTTAAATTCAACGCTTTAGATTTTTCATATACCTTTACATGTCACTACGTTTAAATAGGTTGACTTGGGACATTTTTTTCGTGGTTTTAGTTTGGTAAGTCAATGCTTTCAAGTGATAAAAGCACCTTTCGTGTAACATCTCACGTGGCTTTATTATATCACGAATCGTGTTATGGCATAGTAGTAAATAAAAAAGTAATATTTTCTGGGTTATTTTAAAACATCCCAAAGTAAGTAAATAAAGCACTTGTGTTATCGAAATCTGAATCAAGAACGCTACCCACACCCGAGACAATATAGAAAAGTTAATTTTTCTACATTGACCCGGACTCAGAGATGGCGACACCATGAAAATCGATGTGAAACCCACTCGAGCACAGAGGTCGTCAAAGAAAAGTAAATGCTTTCTATTCTAAGTGTCATAACGGAAACGGAAACAGATGTCAAAAGTAAGTCTAAGCAGAAACGAAAGCTGATGCGGAAGCGGAAGTGTAAATACTATAAATATCTCAATTAAATAGATACAAACAAGCTTGTTTTTGGTTCATAATTGCAGATAGCAATACATAGGTAACGGCTAAATCCTACGCGCTTCACCGCCCAGCAATAAGCGTACGCGCCTGATTCATCGCGAACGTGTTAAACTTCCGTTATAAAAGTTATAGAAGCAGAAACGGAAACAGACGTGAAAAAGCGTGCGGAGCTTTCGAAAAAATTTAATTTGTAAAAGTCAAAAGAACATTTTTTTAAACAGTTTGGTGTTGGGAGTATGTTGGTGTGGCAATCTGGACTTCCCTCCAGGTTTCAAGTTCGGAGCCGCCACCTCTGCATATCAGATTGAAGGAGCATGGAACGCTAGCGGTAAGTCCTAGGGTTTCGTCTGTGGTAGAAATACAATGTCAAATTCAGGTACAACTATAACATGAATCGAAGAGTTAACAACACTTCAATGACGCAACTGAATTTATGATGAATAAATCGACTCGTCCGTAGAACAAAGATCTACTTGTTCTCAGGACATAGTACATTTCGTTCGTTCTTCTTCGCTGTGGATGTCAGATCGACCGTTGTTCGATTTTATGTTTCCGAAACGAAATAAGACATATGAATTCTCAAAACACCTTTACATTAGGCCTTAGTTTGAATAATGAAATTATTCTCGTAATGTCTTTATTCTCTTTTTCGCTATATAATCCTGTTAAATCTGTAAATCGGACACAACCTCTTAAAACAATATTACTTTAACCTTACATTGACATTTCGTACCATGACGCGCTTAAAGTAAGCTTATTATAATGTTAAAACTATAATGCTTTATTGGCAGCTTTGTGACTATTCGTTCATTCAGTTCTACTATGATGCTACTTTAACATTAAAATAGTTACACGGATGCCATGGAAACAATATTATTTTCGAATTTTAATAGAATATATATGTATATATATATAATATATATATACATATGTATGCATTCAATTCAATTCACAGAATTCATGAAAATACGGAATAATAATTGAAAACAATCTAATTTTAATAGATTTTATTATTACATACTTTTCTTTTTTTAACTGTTAAAATTCTCTGAATATAAATAACATTAAGTACATAAACATTATACTACGATAAGACGATTCGGAACATCAAAAAAGAAAGAGATGGCATTATATAGTTCATATAGCGTTATTTCTTTCCTAGCAATCTTAAAATAGTTACACGGATGCAATGGAAACAATATTATTTTCGAATTTATTGTCTAAATATTGATTTGTAACGATTAAAACTTGTATATATTATATTTATATTATATATATATATATATATATATATATTATATATATTTATATGTATATACATTCAATTCAATTCACAGAATTCATGAAAATACGGAAAAATAATTGAAAACAATCTACTTTTAATAGATTTTATTATTACATGCTTTTCTTTTTTTAACTGTTAAAATTCTCTGAATATAAATAACATTAAATACATAAACATTATACTACGATAAGACGATTCGGAACATCAAAAAAGAAAGAGATGGCATTATATAGTTCATATAGCGTTATTTCTTTCCTATTTTTAGTAAGGCACAGACAATATTGGGAAATCATTCGTTCTTTCACTCACTTTAGCAATAATACATTACTTGGTTAACAGGTTTTGACATGGTACGAATATGAGTAATATTACAATACATTCAAATAAGATTGTTTTTGGAAAGGTTATGATAAGCTCCCTGTGCCAGCACACAGCTTTTGTAAAACGTGTGATGTCCACTCGGAAAAGATCGGAAAGCCAAAAATGATTACTTATCATAAGTACATGAAGAATTGAGGAGTCCCCAGACTGTCTCAGCTGCACCATCAGATTAAGGTCATCTTATTATTGTAATGCCATCGAATGTCCATCAAATTTCAAGTCGATCGGACATGTGGAAGTGAAATAAACAACTCTCACTAATTTACAATAGTTGAACGTTTCTCCAAAAAAACTCGACCATATTGCAGTGGCAGAAGGTTTACTTTCGTTTGTTATAATCTAAAATCAATTACGGTAAACAGAAAATGGAAAATTTATTAAAATTAAAAAATAATGATAACATGAAACATCGCCATGGATAATATTACTGCGTCCTGATTTTTATTCAAACTGGAATCGAATCGATCGGATAGTCTCGAAATCAGATGGGTTTCTGAGCGAGAAGATGAACCTGATTCCTACTATATCTTTCTAATTTGTGAGTTTCAACAGTTTACAAATGTCAAAAGCAGAGAATAAAGAATAACAGAACGGACGCTCTCCGCCCCTCCCTAGTTTTAGATACCGCACCATGCCCCGCACATTGCCGGTCACAATGACTGAACGACAACAAGGCTGCCGGCGAGCCGTTTTCGGTCAAAGACGGCTTTGATATTTGAATATAGTTTTCATTTATTCATTACGAAACTTGTACGTTAATATAAAACATCATTTTACATTACTATTTATAATGGTAGTGAATTGTGCTTTGTACGTCTGTTTATGATCATTTTCCGAAAGACGAAACTCATTCTGTTATTGTTTTCCGCATTTATTTACTGCAGAGTAATATATATGTATAAAAAATACAGATTTATTAAATCAATATAATGAGACGCCATGACTTGGCGAATTTTCTATTCATATTGCCGATAAATATTACGTAGGTAGTGAATATATCTAATTATTAACTAAACTTGGACAAGCTATTTCAAATACCTTGGTTACCTTACTTAAAAGTACATGTTCAAAGTATAACATTTGAAGTGCTTTTAATATATTTTTGAAATAAATCGTCAATATTACTCTAGTTAGTGAATTAATGAAAAATATTATAATATATCGATATAAATACCTAATAGACATGTACAATTATTAGGATTCTATTAATAGAATCATAGATAACAGATTCGCGTTAGAATTTTGACTATGTTGCCGCTCTAACCACGTAACGTAATAGTGCGAGAAAGTGATGGGTAACCCTGCCACTTCACGCACACATTTGCGCGTGTGCATATAGCGCCTTGCTGTATGTAGTAGTAGTAGGTAAATAATTTTCGACTGTTGAATGGAGTGTCCGGGGTGTGGTCAAAAGTTTCCGATCGGCCATTTATGAATCGCAATTATGCGCCTCGACTCGGGAGAGGCAATCAAAATCAAGCTGCAGGTCCGACTATCATTTCTGCATTAGAGGTAGCAAAATAAGGTACTTATCCCATTGACTTACAATTATATGGACGTCGGGTCCGCGCTAAAAAGTGTCCGCACTTGTAAGGCGCTAAAATCGTATACAGAGCGCGACACTCCGCTTTAGTCTTCATTTGTTCTACGGACAGCGCGATACTGCGATGACATAACAATTTAAATTTCGAATAGGTTGACTTGGGACATTTTTTTCGTGGTTTTTGTATTAGACCCGTCGTCCATTTATTTGTAAGTCAATGACTTATCCACAATTTTCGAGGTTTTGCGTGAGATATTAGTAACGTACATAGCGAAATTGGCGGACTGAACTTAAGTATGTGGAATTGCGCGTACTGTTGCCACACGTGCCCAGCCCTCTAAGCACTTTCACTGTATTTATTGTTGTGTCAAAAGTGGTTCAACGCCATCTAGCGGTTTACGATGGAAGTTTATTTATATTTTTATACAAAACAGTTATATTATTTAATTTAAAATATTGTTATCATCCTTCAGACAAACATTTAAGCGTATGGGATTTCGACACCCAATCGGACCCCAAAATGGTGAGGGATGGCAACAATGGTGATACAGCTTGTGACTCTTACAATCTGTACAAGAGAGACGTGGAGATGGCCAAGGAGTTGGGACTACACTTTTACAGGTACAAACAAGAACCTTTAATATTTTTTTCACCTCACTAGCTCGGAATTGCTTTCTTTCTCATTAGAAATCTGCGCGCAATCGCATTATTTGCACGCTAGGGTAGAAAAGGTTTTTAAAATTCGAACTTGACGATGGACTGTGGTGATAAGGTGGTACTTTCCTGGGCGAACTCTTCCCACAAGGAACTGTACCTTTAGGACTTTAATTATTTAATTACTATGAAAACTGTCGTTACGTATCAGATGCCCATAAATCTTTCCCATTTGTCTCTCTATTCTCTTTTCTTGCACTATTCTTAACACTCGATTAAAATAAAATTGTGTTTAAACTTTTGCAGGTTTACGTTTACGTGTTGTCGTATTATTCTAGTTTGAAATTACCCTTAGAGCGATTACACACGGCGGCTTTTAACAGCGATGCAAGCGCACCACTGCATCGATACAAACGTGCGATTGCATCGCTGGCGTCGCGCGTTTGCATCGACACTCTAACATTTTCACACGGTAAAACGCGTTACGGTAACGACAAAGGAAATGAATCCGAACGTTTTGGTAGTACGCTATGTATATGACAGATGAGGCAGTTTCATTTCCACGTCATTATCGTTATCTTGTAGCGTGGAGGTCTACCACGAAATATGAAACTAGGTGACTGCTTCCGCAACGAAACTCGACGTGCTACAGAAGTGTCAGTTTTACGATGAAAGTAATGTCGAAATTCGATACGACAGCTGTCATTCGAATTTGGCTAGAGTATAGTTACATAATTGCACAAGGCTTGATGTCATTCGCTCACTAAAAATCCAACTTTTTTTCCTCGTCCCCAGATTCTCTATCTCATGGCCACGTCTCATGCCTGCATCATTTCCAATCCGCATCAGCGAAGACGGAAAACGTTACTATAATGATCTCATTGACGAATTGTTGAAAAACAACATTGAACCAATAGTCACATTATATCATTGGGATTTACCGCAAAGACTGCAGAATTTGGGTAAGTTTGTTCGTCCCGTCACTTGCTATTATAAAAAAAAGGTTATCACAAACAAAAAATCTCCAATTGAACATCTACACTGCCCTTGTGCACGCATGTGTATTTCGGTAAATTTCGATATATTGGCACCGAAACTTTTTTTCTTTGAATAAGAGTGTATTTGAATCAATCACCTTGAAAAAAATCTATTGCAAAATTAAGGATATACTGAGTACTATACGGTGAGAAAACACAATTCCTAAAAAAAATTCACAATAGAAAGAAAACACTAGAAATTTAACAAGAAAGCCCTCTGTATTCAATGGGTACTTTACCAAAGATTTTTTTTATATCAACTAAACTAAATAGAACACGCGTACTATACGATATACATTTTTCAAATGGCTCTAATTTCGTTTATAAAAAAATAAATTCTGAAATAAATGCCCCTGCCACTCAACCCTAGCAAAATGAACCGTATTACCTAACTTTTAGAAAGTGAGGTGTACACCTCGCGTCCTGCAACCCGCATGGTAAATATTAATTATGAATAAAATGAGTAGCAGCAAAAGCCGCGGTCTGTTGCATCCCTATTAGTAATCGACTTAATGAGGTCTTCAACTGCTTTACCCAGGTGGATACTTGAAGACGTTTTTTTCTGATCGGCTAGGTTTTTCATTTACAGATTCAAATACAGTCAATGTATGACCTAATACCTGAACCACTCATCGATTATTTGGTTTGGAGTATCAGTGTAGAAAAAAGTGTTAAGAAACAGAACCCTTAGCATGTGAGTGTAATGTGGTCTGTGTAACCTTATTGCGCCATTAGTGAATGACGTTTTAAGAAATGTTTTACGCCAATTTGATCTTTAATTACATAATATAAATACAAATTTCAAGCAAAAAGCTGACATTCTTTTACAATTTTCTGTTGAAGGCTCTCAAAACCATAAGGTCGGCAAGGTCGGGTGCAGGTATCTTAGAGCATCGATTGTACTATACTGAGCTTTATGAATATAATCTCAGTAAAGAGTACTTACATAAAGATGAAATATTTTCTTCAAATTTAAATGGGTTCACTAATGACGTACTTACCCTCTTTCCAACAAAAAAAGAATCATCAAAATTGGTTCACAAATACCGAAGTTATCGCGTAACATAACATGTACAAAAAAAAAGAACATTGAGAACCTCCTCCTTTTTTTAAGTTATTTAAAAATAAATTGAACTCTGTCTATGTACACTACAGTCGCGAGGCGTCCATATAACTCGATTCCCGCCGGTTTCCCTAAAATTTTCCACATATCATCAAATATTATAAAGTAATTTACTATATTTTGTGCTCAATTTTACGTGTAGAATAATTTTTTATTAACCTGTGAAATAAAGTGTACTAATTATCTTGTGTGTTAATAAGTGTTGTGTTTAATTGTTGCCAAGGCGCCACTTGTTAAGGCAAGTGTTTTTTTGTGTTGCTCCGAGCTTACTAAAGACAACTTTCACGTCTCGCCACTTATACTAAATATAATTTTCCTTAAAAAACAAATGTAGATACATCTATTAGTAAAAAGGTCTCAGTTTAAACTGCATTCAGACCCTATTGGTGAAATTCGCTACATTTTCTAACAGGAGTTGTATAACGTGTATCGACTAGCTCCAATAAACTATCACAGAGCAGTAATCTTGTATAACAATTTTATTATAAAAAATAACGTTGTGTAAAATATTCCAATTAAAAGTTACATGAATGAACAGTAAACGTAGAAATGTAGAGAAATCTGATGGAGGATAAATTTGTGAGTACATTGGGTGAACAGATGAATGAATCTACATCCATTTACTTGCCGATCTTTGTCTCCAAAGTAGTCGAAGCTTGCATCTTCTTCTAAATTTGCTAGACAACTTTGAGTGTCTTATTTGAGGAGGCAAATCATTCCCAATTTTGTGAGGGAGAAAATTTGAGACATTATATTTTGTATGTGCGTAAAAATATACATAATTTCATTAAGAAAGAAGATATCCATAATACGAACCTTAGAACTAAGTCCAACTCATGTTACCACGATTTTATTTAACCAAGGTAAACAACTTTTTTATGGTGAACTATATACGTCTTTACAATAAGATTCCGGAGTATATATTAAGATTATCATTTCCTAAGTTTAAAACTTACATTAAAAGTATTTTAATTGAAAACTCATATCACAAAATTGAAGAGTATTTGTTAGATAAAGAAGTATGGAAAGACAACATGACTCTTGATTCCACACAATTATGATTCAAAGTGTATTCGATAGGATTTAAGTTTATTTGAAAAGAGCAATCCCTAGAGTTTCTTGCTCGTTCTTCTCAGGGAGGTCAGCGTAGTGAACGAGCAGCAGCTTAAAAAATGACATTTTGGAGTGTAAAAATGTTACCTATGGAATAAATGATTTTATCTACATACATATCATAAATCCTTTGTGATGTATTCAAAAACCGCAAATTACGACCAGCATAAAGATAAACTGTTTTGTTAAAACAAATCACTTATCTGTGAAAATGTTATTATTGCTTCCTAATAACATCAAATTCGACTTTATTATTAAAGATTTAGATAAAATTATTCTGTATAATAATTTAACCTAAATACATGGATCTTATTAAATAACCTTTATTTTAGATATATGCGCCAGACTATCGCAAACAGTGATATTATTATATATTTACATAACTTTAATTAAGGTTAGTAGAGCAGGTTAATCTAGGTGACATATAAACTGGCTTGCGCCTCCGGTCGAAGCGGTGGAGGTTGAGAACGAAGCGAAATGGTTCCGGGACGCCATGTCGCAACTTTGCGACGCAACCTCAACCTTCAAAGCGTCGTGTGTACTGGTGGTCTCAGGAGATTGCAGATCTCCGTACAAACTGCGTTGAGGCGAGACGCCAGTACAGAAGATACCGTAGACGGCGGCGCCGCTGATGTGGAGGAACAGTTGTATGGGGCATATAGACAGTGTGTTACGACTCTTCAGCTGTCCATCTCCAACGCTAAGGCCCGGAAAAAGTCTGAGCTCCCCGAGACTCTCAGCCACGATCCGTGAGGACGCCCTTATAAGGCGGTAAGGGGTAAAATCCGCCCCTGGGCACCTTCATTGACAGAAAATCTCGAACCCCAGCTGCTGCAGGATATTGTATTTGCCCTGTTTCCTAACAGAGTAGAACAACAGCCCTCGGTGATGGCACTTCCTCGAGAAGTGGAACAAGGAGACATCGATGTGCCGTCTGTACCCCCTGTGACACAAGGAGAACTCGGTGCGGCCATTTTAAGACTCAGAGCCAAAGCTAGGCTAGCTGGGCTAGGGGGTGGGTCACACACCCCTGACCGGCCCCCCAAACGGCCCCCCCAACTGGTCCCCTAACCGCCCCTCAACCGGCCTCCCAACCGGCCCCCCAACCGGCTCCCCAACCCCAATTGCAAAGTGTCGCAATTCATTTAATTGCAATTGATTTCAATTGAATTGATTTTTTAATCTGATTGAAATTTAATTGATTAACGCCCAACACTGTCTGAGAGGTACATTTCATACCCAAGGGCGGCTGTTGCAAACGATAATGTCGTGCGGGGTCGGTGCTAGGACCGCTCCTGTGGAACATCGGATACTACTGAGTGTTACGGGGAGATCTCTGCTACGCAGATGACACGTTGGTGATGGTGCAAGGTAAGACCTTCGCGGATGCTGCCCGTCTTGCCATGGAGGCGGTGGCACAGGTTGTCGGTAGAATAGAGATGTTGGGACTCCGAGTGGCGCTTAACAAGTCGGAGGCCATGTACTTTCATGGCCCTCGGCAGGCGCCCCCACGGGATTCACGTATGACTATCGGTGAGACTCGCATCGGAGTCGAGCCCACGATGAAGTATCTTGGTCTCGTCCTCAACTCTCGATGGAACTTCCGCGAGCACTTTACTAGCATGATACCTCGTTTAATGGGAATGGCTGCTGCTTTAAAGCGGCTGTTCCCCAATCTCGGCGGGCCCAAAGCGAACAACCATCGCCTGTACATGGGAATGGTGCGCTCGATGGCTTTGTATGGGGCTCCCGTATGGTCTGTCACGTTTACGGAGAAAAACATCGCACTCCTGAGGAGATCTTAGAGGGTGATGACGGTCGGGGTTATCAGACGATATCGCACCATATCCTATGAGGCGGCGTGCTTGTTAGCGGGGTCTCCTCATTGGGATCTGGAGGCGGAGGTCTATGCTGCCATGAATCAATGGCACATTGACTTCCGTCTCCATGGCGAGGATCCCACGCTGCAGGAAGTGCAGGTGTGGAAGTTTCATGCGCGTCAGTCCCTGCTTAGAAAGTGGAGGGAGCGACTGGCCCAACCCAGAGCCGAGAGCAAGACTGGATGGACAGGGCGCATGGGTCCTTGACTTTCCGGGCATGGTTGCTTCGGAAAGTACCTGTGTCATATAGCCAGGACGGAACCGACATCCGAATGTCACCATTGTGGCTGCTGCGAAGACACGGCACAGCACACGCTGCAGGTGTACCCAGCCTGGGCCAATGAGCGCCGTGAACTGGTTGCCGCAGTGGGGTACGACCTGTTACTCCCAGCATTGATCAAATCAATGCTGGAAAGTGACAGGTCGTGGACGGAGGTAGTATCCTTCTGCGTACGCGTAATGTCGCAGAAGTAAGGCGCAGGAGAACAGGACGTCGGAGAAGGCACTATCATGCCCTCCTTCAACCCCCATAACAGGGGCGTCCGCCGGCCGTAATGTATAGACCCTGACGTGACGCGCGCGGTGCTCCTGCGTGCCCCTGTAAGTGATGAATGGGGTGGTATTTCTCCAGCTCCACCCCAACGGGAGGGGGCCCTCGGCCGAGACCCAGCGCCGTAGGGACCGCGGAAGAATGCGAAAGCGTTCCCGTAGTCCCGGAAAAAGGTGCAGGGACGGAACACCATGGGGTTTTAGTCGGTAGGAGTCCGTCATAATCTCTCTGTTGCCCCCGCAGCAGAGAGTTATCCATAAGGATTTCCCCACGTAAAAAAAGGCGACACATAAACTAAGTAAAATTGATTAGTCGTGTCTTAGGTATCCAAATCGGTTCTTATAACATAATGGTTGTTGCGGCCCCATGAACTTCCCTCGGGGGATCCACACTACATCTGCCTGGTCACTGGAACCGGCCCTCCGTGGAGCTAGAGAAGGGCGGCGGCGACTGTAGTTTTAATTACTTTAAATGGTGTTTTGGCATAGTTAGAATGTTTGCTTAATTATTAACAGGCACTTTTTGTGTGTGATTTGTGATGTGTGCCGCCGCTCCATTCGTCTTTAACCTTTCAAGCAGTAAAGTTGTTATCACACAGCTTTGGTCTCTTATTACATATATTAGGCCCATTATGTTCTTGAAACAATGGTTACTCAACATATTTTCAACACATTTTGTTCTGTTATTACATTCAAGTTTCGAACATCTCCGAAATACAAAACAATTTGAATCCACCGCAATTCTAACATCAGTCGAGATGAAGTTTTATTCGAAATGAAATGTCATAGCGAATAATTTTGAAAAATTTCACACGTTACTTGATATCGAACGATACAATAGTTGGGGCCGACTTTAGTTTGTCTATGAATTAAATAAAAACTAAGGTTGTATGCTTAGAGGATGGAAGAAAAAAGTATGACATGCGTGACAAAAGTTTTTATTTGCCGCCATTTCGCCAATCGTAACATGCGGCTCCTAAACACGTCTTAAAGAGCTTATTATATGTGTATACTTAGAATAATAACGCATAGAATGATAGTTTCATATCAAACGAACTGTCACAAGTGAGGCAAAAATCAAATTCATGTAGGCTAGTTTTAGTAGTAGGTTAATTTTCGGTTTTAGTAAATATTTATATAAAAATACAAGTTGAAACGCGTTACTTCCTTGTGGAATGTGATGTTAGTATCTATTTTATGTTTGTCTGACGTATTTTTACACTCATTTACCGCACATTTCGTCATTTTTAGCTAAAATTCTTGAGCTGTTCGCGGTGCAAGTTGACCTTGAGCACTGAAGGCGCGGCCGCTCGTGTAGGTCCATTGGGCGCGTTTCAATTTGCCTCACTCAGCGTGTGCGGACTAGGTTTCTATGCGTTATTATTCTAAGTGTGTATATCTAGATAAAGCAGTGTATTTAACTGTACATAATTAGGCAATAAAACACTCGTGTGATGTTTTTATGAAACTCGCCTGTCGGCTCGTTCACACTCGTGTTTTAAAGCCTTTCATTACGTAACAGTCACATGAACTACTAATTTGACTTTGCCTTTGCCACGGCACAGCGTTAGTCGACGAGCTGGTGATATCTGCAAAGAATACCGTATCGATCGCACATTGCCCTCAACTCTGTGAGAGTACGGATTAATGAGCATCCTTGTATTTCCAGGTGGCTGGGCTAATCCCCTAATCGCAGATTGGTTTGCGGACTACGCTCGCGTAGCCTATAGCTTCTACGGTGACCGTGTAAAGACCTGGATTACAATCAATGAGCCGATCGTGATCTGCGACGTGGTTTATAATACTGGACTCTTAGCTCCTAGGGTACAACATGAGGACGGAGCGTTAATTTGTAACAAGAACGTTTTGCTGGCTCATGCTAAAGCATGGAGGGTTTATGATGAAGAATTTAAGCCTAAGTATCATGGTGAGTTTATGTACTTGAATAATATACGTAAAACAGAGGCAAAAAAAATACAAACGTAAACATAGGCAAAAGGATTGTCGGGTGCTTAGTTGCAAACTGAGTCGGCGATATAGTACGCGTTGCGGGGCCTCAATAGATGCGGCTAGTACAGACTGTGGTGGATGGCGGAAGCTTTCGGAGGCCTATACCCAGCAGTGGGTGAAATCAGGCTATGGATGATAATGACGTAAACGTAAGAAACAGAGATTGTACATTCTGGGACAAGGCAGACTCCTCTGCACCTCGTTAGGTAATACTGCCTCTTGATTGGCGTGTGAAGTTACATACTGAGAAGTCACAGAATGAGAATCAAAGCCAGGAAATCCCTCCATTTCTTAACATCTTATTCACTAAACTAATGGATAACACTTTTAGTAGCAGCAGAGCTCTTTGGGAAAGAGTTCGTCCAGAGTACTGCCACATTAACAATAAAATATGGCATTTCTTTTTTAATCTATGCAATGCCTACGATGCCATAGCCGTTCAATATTGAAAAATGTTATTAACTTTATTTTAGCCAATAAAAAGCTCGGTGTTTTTTTTATGCAATATAATTTAGCATATTATGAATGCAGCTGTGTATAAAGATAAATATATGAACTATTTCGGTTTGTATTTTAGAATGTTTTAATATTTTCGAACAGGAAAGGTATCGATGGCAAACCAGATGGTGTGGCTGGAAGCAGCTTCAAAGGAAGACGAGGACATTGCCATACTCGCCAGAGAACATTCCGTAAGACAACTTTTGAAGATAGTTTATCGGAAGATAAAAGATTTTTGCCGATTTTTTACGTTTTTCGTGTCAAATACCAATACCTAAGATAATGATGACTAGGATCTACTTGTTAGTACTACAAACATCTTACAGCTGTTGTTTTTGTGGATTGCACGAAAGAATTTCTTTTTGATTTTCCTTATCTGTACCATTGGCAAATGCACCACAATAGCAGGCTCTAGTGTATGCCATTGATACCAATAAGAAGAAAATAGTGATAAATTTAAAACAAATTAAATGTAATAATAATACTCTGTAGAATCATTTAACCAGTCTATATGCTTCTATATATATATACAGTGTGTTAATTCGCATTCTCGTCATATTTACGAAATTAATAATAGAAATAATGCTATATCATCTAAAAATTATTCTGTTCAATATTCTGTCTAATAGTATCTAGTAAAGTTTTGCAAAATTGTCTCAAGTCATATGCACCACGCAAGAGCAGTAACCCCGCCACCAACTCCACCGAGCGATACGTAATCTTTCTCGATCGCTTTTTACCTATTTTTTAAATTATGCTTACTAGTATTGTTATAATTTTGTTATTTACATTAATTAGAAAAGTTGACTGAAAAAGATTTTTGTAACTTAGATTTGGTACTTACCGACTTTAAGTTACATGAAAGTATTGCTAGAAGTACCTAGCTATGCAGAGATTCGCACGTGAGTTTCGTTTCAACATTAAACTCCACAACTTTGAAAGCAGAAACTTCGACACTCGTATCCTCCGCGTAAACTAAACGTTTCACATCATGCCATAAGAATAGACCATCACCATGCAGGTTCTAGTGAACCTGGTAGCGGTTATTTTTTGCACTAGTAACTCTTGTTTACGTACCAAACCACGAGGCATTTCGAAACAGACTAGAATTAGTGTGGGATGTCAGCGTGACATGGACGCAGTACGGGAAGTAAGGTCGACTGATCTACCAATCGCGCGCTCGATACGACACTCCCCCGCTGTCGCTACCCGCACCCCACCACCAAATAGATCTAAAATGCGTTTCTTTCTGGGCATTTAAGGTCATTGTTCAAAATATTTGCAAGTGCCGTGCAAGTCAATGACCTTTGGATCAAAATAGAAATTTACGAATTTTTTTTTCCATTTATTTTTTTAGTGATTTGGGTTCAATTTCGGAAATAGAATGACCTCTGTAAATATGGCGAGAATGCAAATTAACACATTGTATAGGGTTATTTTTAAAAGGTTAACAATCTCGCAGTACTATATTACTAACATAATAATCAACAATTTTTGTGCCCTAACTTTTCAAATCATGATAAAATTACCAACAACAAACTTTTAAATTTTTTTATTGTACTATCTGACACTTTTTAGATCTGTATTTCGTAGCTAGGTAAAGTCTGTTCCAAATCCATTATGCCAGAAAAGTATACAAACCGGTTTGGTTAAAATTCTAAAGCAATCACTGAATAAATGGAATAAGTAACACTTTTACTTACCTATACACTATCATATTTCAATTTGATATCTCAACACTTTTTCCTGCAATATTCATTTGCATAACATATTAAAATCTTATTTGAAAAATGTTAGTTCAAAATCAAGGTTAGTTTTCAAAATTAAACATATATATGTGAATAGTCTATGGCTGCATAGGGCTGTATGGAAATAACTCATTGAATCAGTTGGATTAACTGAATTTATTATATAAAACCCAGTTATTCCAACTGATTCTATTAAACAAATCAATTGATTAATAGATTTGTGGTTGGCAATACAGTTGGCCATCACTAAACTGCCTATCGTCGGGTCAATGATCAGTTTGTTTACTTTTCTGGTACAAAGTATTGGAACGGACTATAAGTTCAAACGTGCAAGCGTTCTCCGCGACAACTCCCACACCCGTCCCGCTCAGAGTTATTAACGTTTAGAGCGATCTGTTTGAATATATTTATTTGTGTACCTATGTAAGTAAAATCTGCTGAATTATCAAAAGTCATGGATAAAAGTCATGTTTATAATATTAGTAATATAGTCAACCCCATATAGTTCTTAAATGTTTCATGTTTGTGTATAGGAGAATTGGATTGAGACGCAAACACCCCCAGAATAGGTACTGTTGCGGTTCGCACCTGCGAGACCTGCTCATCAGCGAGACAGCTCTTTAACGTACGATGGCGTAGTAATGCGTAATAATGCCCAATTAAAATTTTCAGTATGGCCGCTACACACATCCAGTATTCTCCAGAGAAGGCGGTTGGCCTGCAAAGTTGGAAAGAGCCTATGCTGACATCAGTAAGAAACAGGGATACCTTCGGTCGAAGCTACCAGCTTTCACTAAAAAAGAGATTGAATATATACGAGGTAAGAATTTTTCTGCTGCCCACGCTACGCACTCTGACTTACTTTCGCTTTGTATTACGATGGATGGATCCACCCAATACACACACAAGCTATGCGAACGCTAGGAGCCAACCACATATTCGCACTTACAGGAGTATTAGGATAGAGAACGGTGAACTAAACTGAATTGCTAGAACCATATCGATTCCAGTAGCAGTAAAGGTCCTTGTGAGAGAGTTCGTCCAGGGAAGTACTACCACCTTACCTATTTCTGCCGCCAAGCAGTAATGTGAGCATTACTGCGTTCCGGTTTGGAGGGGTAAGGTTGCTGATGGAAATGAACTTATGTCTCAGGCAGACGAGCGCAGTGGCGGTGCCCCTAATATCTTTGCGATTTAAAGCTCTTGAGTGGCAGTGCAACTGTTATGGATAGACGTGTCACTTACCATCAGGCGCACGACTTGCTCGTCCCATCACTTGGTATTATAGTAAGAAAAGAAAAGGTGAACGTGTATACATAGCATAGTTAATAAAATAACTATGGTAACTTCATACAAACGTAGAAGCGTGGTTTGTACATGTGCACGCCCGTCGCGCGCCGTACAAACGCACACATTCGTACGATCTCACTCGAGGTCATCACAGATGCCATTAATTATATTGAAGCGCTTGCTAATCCGCGTCTTAGGGGGTACAAAAAATGCGGCACGCTTGGTGTACTTGCGGTGTATGATATAATGCGAATATGATATTCAGCAACAGAGGCAGGCACGCGCCGCTGAAGACACTGGTTCGAATCCAGCCGGATCGAAGCAGTTTTTTTTACTGTTTTTGTCGATATTTGTATTAATAATTATAACAAATTAGTGGAATATGTCATGGTCACGGTTGACTGTAATATAATGGAACCTGTAAAGGGCCCGAAACGTCGGTTTGTTTGAAAAAACAAATATACGCGATTTAAATCCGGAAAAATAGTTTCATTTCCTATGTGTAACAATCGCGAAAACCTAAGAACTCGAAGTTTGGATTTATGTTCTCGAATTATCCTATGCAGGAACATACGACTTTTTGGCTCTGAATCATTACACAAGCCGCAAAGTCCGCAAGGGGTCACCAGGTGAGAGCGCCACCCTCTTCACGGGGATCTATGATTTCGACATTAAATTTGAAGTTGATGAAAGTTGGAAGAACGGATCTACTTCATGGTTTTATGTAAGTACATTTTTTTTACTTCATACTTATGTATAAGATATTAAAATAGTGTTGTAACCCAAAATATGTGTAATTCAAGATTGTACCATTTCAAAACGTAAAATTTTATTTTCTACTCGTCAATAAAACCGTCATTAGAATATTGTAAAAAACAATTGAAAGATATCTTCTTAAGTCGAAATGAGACAAACTTTTTGTGAGCTAGTTCTGGTGTCCTTACTCAAAAAGTAAGGAATTATTTTTTCCCTTTTATTTTTCAATATATTTGGCAAGTAGGAACTTGTTTAGATGTCTAATAAACTTTAGCTTCTACAACAACTTGTGTAACAATCGCGAAAACCTAAGAACTCGATTTCTATTGAATTTTAATAATCTTTCACGAGAAGCGAAGTATACAAATGTGTTAACAGTGAAATTTGTGCTCATATGAGTACATCTGTTGACGTTGATGTAGTTTACACTAGTTGTGTTGGTTCTTAAACGACCAATTCAAAAAAGTAATATCATGATATTACTTTGGGGGAAGCTTATAAAACTCCACCAGCACCAGCAAGTGAATAGAGGCAAAATAGGTAAAAAAATAATGTAGGATGATTCCTGTGTTCATAAAAATCTACACATTAGAACCTTGCAACAACGTGCACTAATTTACGTATTTTATAAACAATTTTTTATAAGCCTTGCATTTAAGTGAATAGCTTTTGTTTAAGAAAATATATTAAATTAAAGTTTTAATGTTTATTTATGAGAAATTAGCAGAGAAACATTTTTTTATTATTATTTTTTCGATATTCATTACACTACATTTGCTAGAGATATACATCGGTAAAAAATTTTCGATAATTTAATGAAGAAATATATAGTGCATTTAACATATTCATTCTTCTTAAAGTCTGAATTTTATCACCAGCAATGAATTTTTGTGTAACGTTTACATGAGTAATATAATAAATGTATCTACATTATAAATCTGAAATTTGCAACAATATCATTTGAAAATGCTTTTTAATTATAGTTGTTTTTACGCCTTCAAAATAATAAATATCGGATATTACAGATAAAATAAATATCATTGGAGAAAACACAATCATGGGAGTTCATTATTTTGAAAACTATGATATCCATAATTCATCAACATGGCTGTATAATAAAGAACATTTGCCTCAAAAATCTAATTACACTAAAAATCTATCAACTTTACCTCTTCCCTGTGAGATTCGCCCTGGACCTTTTGGAGGGAAAAGTGTCGTTTTTATTTTGACTTTCAATTATTTTGTGAAATCTAGTTTAAAGTGGAATGGGATAGTGCTATTGTGCCTTAATCGAAGATTAAAACGCGAAATTATACGAATCTCGAACTAAAATACCCGTATCGGCCCGTTTTAAGGAATCCCGAGTCAATCCAAGCACGCCGCCTCAAATTGCCTATCCTCTTTGTGGCGGCCATATTTACAGAAACATAATTAAACTTCATGTTTAGGCTGATGACTTTGCCAAAGCCTTAATAAATTTAAAAAAAAAAATTATCTTCCCTATGATAAATGTCAGTTGAAATGTCACAAGGATCATCCCTCCCGTCCTTCCATCCTCGAAGCTCCCGTCCCTCATTTTAACGACCTCTGTGGTCTAATGGCTTGCACACCAGTTTTCATGGTGTCGCGCTCTCTACATTGTCTCGGGTCTGGGTGTTTGTGGTACCGTCGTTGTTTCCGAGTTCCATAACCCTAGTGATTTTGTTACTGAAGTTGAAGTTATTTATCATCGTTTGAAATTAGTATACCGTCCTCCTTTTGGAGAGGGGCCTATATTAGACACATCGAGTATATACTCGACTGGTTATATAACCAGTAATAAGAAACGAAATAAGGGCCATACATTCCTAGTAGGTAACTCATCAATTATACATCACTTATAAATATCAACTCTCGTTTGTACTGAAATTACAAATTAGAAAGCTGAAATAGTACAGCGCCAACAACTGACCTGTGTATACGTCTCCGTATATTCCAAAAATATTCTGTATTTATTATAATAAAGGTAATATCTCTAACAATGGCGTGCTGTCCCATTCGGTGGTGTGGGGAAAAACAGCAAAACATCTCATTACAAAACAAACGAATCAAATTTCATCGGTAATTGAATATTAAATATGTAATTTTGCAATTTTCGTCCATTATAACAAAGCTCAAGTTAACTGGTCGATTTGAAGTGAAACAATTGACGACACCCGTCAATTGTTTCGAATTCGGACTGGCCAATCGGAGCGCAGTTGTCACAATAATGATATGGCAGAATAATTTTCTAACAAATTAAATTACATTTCGTCTCCATTTCTGGTTATATACTCGATGATTGACGTAAAGAAATGTATTCTATACTTGAACAGGTGTATCCTGAAGGTATTCGCAAACAAATAAACTGGCTGAAGCAACAGTATGGGGATGTGGAGATCTTCATCACAGAAAATGGATATTGTGACGACGGAGACATGGTCGATGATAATCGCGTGGAGTATTACAAGGATTACTTAAAACAGGTAATTGCAACTTAGACCTACGAGATATGACAGGGCCTGCTTCAAGTATGTCTTGTCTAGTTTATTAGCACCAGAACTCCTTGTAAAAGAGTTCTTCCAGGGAAGTACTGTCAAGCAGTAATCTGATCATTACTGCGTTCCGGTTTCGAAGGGTAAGTAAGGGTGCTGGTAAAATTACAGACACATGGGACTTGTCAACTTATTTCTCAGGGTGGCAGACACATTGGCAGTGCTCTTAAGATCTTTGCAATTAAAAGCTCTAAATAGCACTGCAACTGTTATGGACAGCCGTGTCGCTTACCACCAGGCGCAGGACTTGTTCGTGGTCTTCAGAGATAATAAAGCGATTCTGATAATAGCACAACGAAATCGGTAGATAAATCTGTCATCCGCTAACTATAACGTAGCGTATATTTGTTTAAAAAAAACCAACATTTCAGGCCCATGGTCACGTTTGAAAAAAAAAACATGGTTGAAAAAAACAAATATACGCGATTTAAATCCTGAAAAATAGTTTCTAAAAATATTGGAATTGTTTAATGATATTTAAGTTATGCATCGTTAGGGTAAGTTCCGATAAGTCGAACCCGTTAACTAATTTCAACTGTCTTTAAAAGACAATCTTGTGCTCTATTTTTTGCTATTTAAATCGGATATTTGACCATTTGTCACTTACCCACATTTAGTTAAGAGACGGCCGAAATAAAGCACCACGGAATAACAAGCTAGTGGAAATGGTATTAACCGACATCACCAGACATGGGCAGTGAACCCATTTCTGCCCAAAACCGTGGGCGGAAACGGGGAAAACTGAATTTGGTATAATTTCATACTTATACAAATTCTGACGCAATTTTTTTTTAATTATACTAAAAACTTATTAACTGCACGCAGTTCCTACCTTGCAATGCCGTGGATTCTCAAATATTCACACTGCGGTTAGATTTTTATGAGAATCGATTGATCTAACGATTTTTGTATCGATTTATTTCAATGCAATTTTCAAGCTAATCGATCCAATAGAAAGGCAAATCGAAAAGTATAGATCAGAAAGCAATAAACGTTATGTAATAATACCATTAAATTTGAACAAACCTTGATTTACAAGACATAATTAGCTATAAATACTTTTTGCCCTCAATGTCGGGCATTTATGGGCCTTAATCCGATTTAAACCCGAGTGATATATAAATTAACGAAGCGCCGGGTTAAAACCCGGGCGCTTTTACGTATCCGGTAATTACAATCATAACCGGTGTCGCCACGCGCACACTTGTGAACTTATCGTACATTACACCACTAAGATAATATAATTTTGATTAGATATAATTATATCAAACGAAATTAGGCCAGTAGTCTAATAATACCTTTTTGGAAAAAAATTGAAACTTATTTGAATCCAGTAAGGTTTATTTTCAATAACGTCGAAACTGATACGTCTAATTCTATAAAAGGTAATGAACTTTTTGACTTAAGAGTTCCGATACTCAACACTAGATGGCTGACTGTTACTGAACTGAACAGTTCGTATGTATTCAATAAGAAACTAAATTTCAATTAAATAATTAATAGTAGGAATAATAAAAACAAATGAAATGTCGAACATTCTAGGTCTCGGTCGATCTTAGTCGTAAAAAAATATGCGACTTTAACATCAATACGATATAGGTGCTTTTCATTCGTAATAACGGCACAAAATTATCAAAAATTGAACAAAAAACAGTTACATGTTTAATTTTGCGAAAGTTACAAGATACATTTTTATTATTGCTATTATTTGGACAGTACAAAACAGAACAATAAACCAAATCACTCAAATTTTGTTTACGTAGTGAAACACACGTTTTCCGTAAGAGAGCGTTGACGTACAACAAATGGGTCGTTTTCAGATAACCTCCAAAAATGTGTCCCTTTCAATAACTTTTATGTTATTACATGAATGCTAAGCATTATTTATTTAATATGATTGCTTGCTTGCTTAGTCCGTGTTACATATAAAAAGTGTATTTTACTACGTCACAGTAATAAATAAAAATTAAAAAGGTGGGCAATTTCTCATTCATGGAAGCCGGTTCCACGTCGCCCTAAATTTAAGAAAAGAAGAAAAAAAATTAAACACTCGTGGAAATCGCAATATTTCCCATCGAGGATAAACTCTAATAACTGCCACGTCGAATACATACCTTAACTTTCCAATTTATTATAAGCAAACTTGTTTTCTTGGGGATACAAAATGTGTTTCAATTTTTCTTATCATTAGTGCCAATTCAACTAAAAGCTTCCTAATAACAAAAGTTCATACCACATCACCTTCACCTTTCGCATACGTGAGAAGGGGCTCCTGTCGGATTGGAGTGTACACAGAGAAGTAACCAGTGCATCTCCGTTTTAGCAAAAAATCGACTTAAATACCAATTTCAGCGCTAGTGAGTAAATCGTTCTCATTCATGTGAAGCAATCTACCTAAATGAGTATTAGGTTATAGTTTTAAAAACTTTATTGTACATTAATTAGACAAAGGGAACTTTAAAATCCATGCACTTTTATAACGGTCCAGCATATTTTACACACTTAACAATTAAAAATGTATCCAAATATAATTATTGTCGCTCTCATTCTTGTCTACTTTTCAGTCAAATAGTTACTTTAAGCCAAACATTTACTTGAAATATAACAATTAGACGGTGATAGTGGTGGTGATGATGGTGATGAGGATGATGATAATGTTGATGGTGGTGATGATGATATATTGATGTACAACAAAGTTTTTAGACATTAACAAAATACTCAGATTTATTTATTAATTGCATATAGATAGATGGATGGTCTTACACGGATGAGAAGGATTTTAATACAAGAAGTTATATTAAAATATTTATTACATGTTAAATTTTGTTAAATGAACTTCTGTGAACGATAAAATGTATGTTGTAATAATAATTTCTCATTATTGTGCCGTATTTCTCATTTATGTTTATGAGAAAATCATTCGTGTTACTGCAATCTCATTCGTGTGATCCAAAATATCGTTTCTTGTTGTATTTAACTTAAATATTTTTTTACTTAATTGACTTACAAATAAAAAGTCAATGCATTACTTGAACTTATTTGTACGTTTAAGACCTTAAAACCAAAAGAAAACAGGGTTTTTATAAAAATCACTCAAACAGTGCCATTCAAATTCGGAAAGTGAAATTCACTAAGATATTGGTTAATAAGATAATGGTTACTTCACACTTCTTCTAGTTTGTTATGGCGAGCCGCACTACACCGCATCGTACAACAATAACCTTCCTAAATCACTTTCGTGCATTTTATGTATAAAATATAGATATGTTACATATCTGTAATGTAACGTATAATCACTACATATTATCACTACCGTGTATGTCTGTCTGTCTGATCGTGATAAACTCAAAAACTACTGAATGGATTTTCATACGGTTTCCACCAATAGACAGAGTGATTCATAAGGAAGGTTTAGGTGTATAATTTATTTGTAATGTAATGTGTAATTTCGCTGAAACATGACGATAAATGAAGATGACGGAAAAAATCATGCTATCATGCATGCAAAATCAAAAATTTCATTAAAGTATATTCATTATGTAGTCTACGAGTATGTTATGGTGAGTGCTGAGAAAGGGGCGGCTGGTACTGACTATATGCTAGGACTGCAAATCCGCCACTGCCAAACATAGTAATATTTTAAATAAACGCGTAATAGGAATCACGGTGAAAGATCGACTTAGGTAAATATATGCTATTACAATAGTGTTATAACTCAAAATACATGAAATTAGATTAGATTAGATTAATGTTTATTTGCCAGAATACAGTAAATATACAGGTCTTAAATTAAATTGGTACAATGTATTCAACCTGCAAGCAGGTGTGCAAATATATTGGAATTTATTGGTACAGGTAATTGAAGTTAATTAAAATGTCAAATATTTCTAAATTCAAAGTTTTCCTTATTACTATAGAAGCAATGTGTCATAAGCAATCTTGTCAATTGTAGTTTAAAATTATGTCCGTGTAGTAATTTAATGTCACTTGGTAAATTATTAAAAATCTTAAACATGTTGAAGCAGTTATTTGTATAAATTATTTTATGGCAACGAGGTTGATATAATTGATTCATAATTTTAGGCCGTGTTTGTCTTTGAAATATTTCGCTACGTATTTTAAAATGTTTAGGATTAGTCTTAACAAACACACAGATGTCTCTGATATACTACAAGAGAGGTAAGATGTTTAGTTTTTTAAATAGGTTAAATAGTTTTTATATTCAAGATTATACCATTGCTGAAGGTCAAATTTAATTCTCTACATGTCAATAAAACCATCGTTAGAATATTGTAAATAACAAATAAAATATATATCTAGTTAACTCAAAATGAGACAAACTTTTTGTCAAAACTGTCTTTACTGAAAAATATGAAATTTTTTCCATTTTATTTTTAAATATGCTTGGCAAGCAGAAAACAAAGATTACTCCACTGGTGTATTATAATTATTAATACAAAGATCGACACTTCGACTAAAAAGTCGTTGAAAACAAGGACATAATAACAAGCACATAGAAAAATTCGTGAGGTCCGCTGGTTCGTTCCGTGGCTTAGCTGGCGTCTGGCACGGTTTGTTAGGAGACGTCGGTTGGAATCCGACCGGATCAAAATATTTATTCCTAAGTGTTCGATCTTTGTATTAATAATTATAATAAAGTACACAACTGTTTAGAACTTTAACCTATACATAAATTTTAATAATCTTTCACGGGAAGTGAGTAATTAGTTTTCCATCGAGTCTAAAAGCATACACTTATTATATATTCACAGCGCTATATATCAACCAGAGTGCTGATTTTCTATCGATAGTCTCGAAATCAAGTGGGTTTCTGAGCGAAAAGATGAACCTGATTCCTACTATATCTTTCTAATTTGAGAGTTAAATCATCTATTATTGTTCGGATTAGAAATGTCAAAGGTTTCCGATCGGCCAGCTGTGAATCGCAATTATGCGCCTCGACTCGGAAAAGACGAAATTTCCGATCGGGAGAGGCAATCAAAATCAAGCTACAGATTGAGAACGTCTAGTGTAGAAGAAGTATCAAGTGACTTAACAGACACGGAAAATGGATGAAATCCACAATACCAATGCGGTTATTTGCTATTTTTAAAGGTGGAATATTTTCTTTAAATTCCAGCAGGACTACTGCCTTTCCAACAATAAAAGAATCATGGAAATCGGTACACAAAACAACATTGTTGAACTAAAGACCTTATTCTTATTTACCCGTGAAAATTGCATGTCTAATCGTGATTAAGAGAACGATATGACTTGTGTTATTTCTGTTATGTTTTAGGTCTTGCTGGCAATCAAAGAAGACAAAGCCAAAGTCATTGGCTACACTGCATGGTCCATGATGGACAACTTTGAATGGATTGATGGATACCAGTAAGTATCGTAAGATATAAATAATGTTGCCAGAGCCTTTGAGTCGAAAATTGCATTTCATTGTCTGAAAAGAGAAATTTTTGCTGCAAACTACAAGCGACATCCGAAGTGCGTCCGGGTCGAATGAAGTGACCAAACACGCTTATTAAACCCATTAAAAAAGAACAATTTTTGCAAGCATAGCTTAACAATGTCGGCTCTGTTTATTATACTCAATATAACAATTCGTTTTTCATTTTTTACAGAACAAAGTTCGGTCTATACAAAGTGGATTTCGACGACCCAGAGCGCACGCGCACGCCTCGCAAATCGGCCAAGTTCTACGCTGACGTTATCAAACATAATTCTTTAGACATTCCCGAGAGTCAGGAGTTGTAGGAACATCATATTCAAGTGTACATATAATAATATTATCGTGTAATTAAAATTAAAGCTTTGTGGTGGGCATTGTAGTTTTGTAACTTTCTTTACTGGTGATACAACTTAAGCTAAACTTAAGATATCTCACAGATGGCGCTACGACAAAAAAGTCGTTAAAAACCATTGACTTACAATTATATGGACGTCGGGTCCGCGCTAAAAAGTGTCCAAACTTATAGGGCGTTAAAATCGTATACAGAGCTGCATTCACGCTTTAGTCTTCGTTTGTTCGACTGACAGCGAAGCAAGCAAAATTAGACAGTACTGCGATGACATTACAATTTAAATTCAACGTTTTAGCTTTTTCATATTCCTTTACATGTCACTACGTTCAAATAGGTTGACTTGGGACATTTTTTTCGTGGTTTTTGTATTAGACCCGTCGTCCATTTATTTGTAAGTCAATGTTAAAAACTAATAACGAAGCTCTGCAACAAACACGTGGAAAAATAGTGCGGTCCGTTGGTTCGTTCCGTGGCATAACGTCTGAAACGGTTTGCTGGAACGCGTTGATTAGAATCCAACCGGATCGAAGTGATTTTTTCTAAGTGTTAGTTTTGTTTAATCATTATAACAAACTAGTGGAGTAATTTCACTGAGAAACTTCATGGAGAAACACCCTAACATTCAATAAAACTTATAACTTTGGTTGGTTCCGCGTAGCAGTGAAATTGTTGAATCAATTACTTTGGAAGAAATATATAGTAAAATTTAAGATATACACTGATTTAGTATACGGTGTGGATACACGATTCCTAAAAATGTTTGTAGCGTTTTCAGCCGACAGGCACCAATAAATAGTCGACTTACACAATATGCTAATAAACTACAGGGTCATACGTCTATGGCACTATTTGATAAATACAGCGCAATTAGCGGAAGCCGGTAGGTACAACGGCAAGCAAGCGGCGATGCGGGATTCACTTCGAAGATCTTATGAGCGACTGGCTGCCGATGTGCAGGAATGCGGTGTGTCCGGCCGGCTTAGGGCGCGTTCCCACTATGTCATCACGTTTTATTATCGTTGGACGACTGTCGTGTCTAGCCTGTTCCCATATCACGACTATCTGTCGTGTCGTGTGTCGTTTTTATCGTGGAACGACTGTCGTGACTAGCTGTTCTCACTAGATCGTGACGACAATTTATCGTTTCACGACAGCCTCCTTGCCCATCTCTGGCTACGACCCAACGCTACTGCAAATCGAGCAGAGGGCGCGGGGTACGAGAGGGGAGGGCAGGGAGCAGAATATGTGCGGACAGCGATAAATAAAACGTGGCGACAATCTGTCGTCACGTTTTTATCGTGACGTTTTTTTATCGTCTGACTACTGTCGTTCTAGCTGTTCCCACTGTGACGACAGTTTGTCGTTGTGACGATAAAAAATCGTGAACGACAGTTAATCGTGTTGTGCTATATGTGAACAACTTCATTTAAATATACAAGCCATGACACTGTAAACTGCACGACAATCTGTCGTCACGACATAGTGGGAACGCGCCCTTACGCGAAACAATAGCGTGGGTTAATATAAATCGAGAGGTAAGTTGAAATTTGCATTAATATTTTTAGACAATTTAGTTTTAATTTTAATTATAGTTACTTAGATTTTATTCTTATTTATTTTATTTGTTGGATATAAATAAAATATTTATATGTATGAGTATATAGTATAAGTTGACAGAGACACGTTCGACAGAGACACCATCGACTTCAACGGCGAATAGGAATACATTGCCGTTGCCAACAGTCGCTAAGGTCTGTAATAGATACGGTTTATCGACACGATCTGCTGCTGCTGTTGCTTCTGCGGTTTTGGGTGACGTCGGCTTCGTTTCTACGGAAGATTTAACTCTGGTCATTGATAAAAACAAGATCCACAGAGCAGTATCTAAAGCCCAAACAGAAGCTTCAAAAGATATTAGAGGTATTGTTATAAAAAGTACTTACTTTGATGGACGAAAGGACAAGACTCTGATAAATGAGAAAATAGGGGATCGTTACCATCGCAAAGACAACCTGGATCTATTTATTTGGGACACACAACGCTTCTTGCTAAAGATTATATCGAAATTATTGTCTGGCATGAGTGTCAGGTTACATCACCACCGGTTCTTCGACATATTTGTAATAAAGACCTTCGAATCCTGACAAAAGACAAAAGTTTGGAAATTGTGGACTTTCCTTGTCACACACAATCTGCCGAAAGATATGTTAAACTGGTAACAGAGGCCTCACAAAATGTATATGTCGCTTCAAGAAATCTTCAGAGAACCTGGTTGCAATCTCGAGCAGAAATGCCAAATTTCGGACATAAAAATGTGTTTCAATTTTAAATTTTCGCCTTTGATCATAAGGTCTATTTTGCTCTCTTGTGCTTTATTTCATTTATTTCAATAATAAAATAGCTTTTAAACTAGATTTTTTAAATTAATTTATGCATACGGTTTAGGTCTGTGAAAACGTAAAATCTACAAAACTTCAAAGCGCGACAGAGTCCTCAAGATGACACGCAATTCTATTTTTTTCCATTTTCGTAATCTGTGTGGGATCTTGCGATTGTGTAGCTCGAAAAAACAATTTTCTCATACTTGGACGGGACAACCTACTGGAGAGTGTTCACATTACAACGAGGCTCGGACGAGCTCGGAAGCAACTCGGGCGTCACTCGTCCGTGCCACGGATGCAGCACGTTGTAATGGATCACTTCATATAAAATGTACGCAGCATTTCCAATCCGGCACGGTCTATTGTAAATAGTCCTTTATACGTCCCACTGCTGGACATGATTCTCCTTTCAGGCGAGAGTTTGGACTATAGTCCGCCACTCTGTCCTGTGTGTGTGGAGTGTTAATAACGCACACACTCAACATAGCCCCGCACTAGGGAAACCCTGTGTCGCGGGTGCCATGAACACACACATAGACAACCACAAATTACACCCAAACTCACGAGAGAAATAAATGTAGGCTATACACATATTTCTCCCGGCCTGGGTATCGAACCCAGGACCTCTGCATGGCAGTCCGGCATGGTAACCGTTCGGCCACAGAGGCAGTTAAAAAGTGTTGTGAACATTCTTCGACGTGCAGGTTTCAGATGTTTTCCTTCACCAGTAAATTTTGCACATAAATTCTGAGAAAAATGCATTTTTATACATTTACGTACCACATAATTTTTTTACACTCATTTATAATGCTTCATAGGCAACAAAAAATCCAATTCCTTTAAAAATCTAATAGATGTACTATTTTATCTTATTCCCTGTGAGATATCAATTTTAAGCCAAGCCATTAATACTTGCCAGGTGTGGGCAGTAAACCTGAGACGGACATATTCGATAGAGATGTACGGACGTAGGGGGAACTTAAACCCGGAAAAGGTGTATTTATATTCACTTTCCGCGGGATTTGCAGGAAGATTGGTACCATAGTATAATAACACGTATGATAATTCCACACAAACGTAGCAACGGGGTTTGTGTATTTGGACGTATACATGAAAGCCACGCTGCTACGTTTCTATTGAGTTATCATGCTTGTTATGCTATGTTAGAACAAAACGTATGCTTGCAAAGCCAAGTCTGCAGAGTTTTAATGTAGTGTTACAAAGCGATAGTGTTTTTGTCAACATTTTAACCTTGAAATTGAAGATCATTCCAGCTACTTGGAATGGACCTGTCGTCCAATTTGAACTTCGGCAGATACATTGAATCCATGGCCAAAAATACAGCAAGCAAGCTTGGCTTCCTTACCAGGGTGAGGCGTTACTTTACACCGGGACAGTTGCTCCAGCTGTACCAAGCACAATTCCGAACGTGCATGGACTGCTGCTGCCACCTTTGGGATGGCTCTACTACATACCAACTGACCACCTTGGATTCAATCAACAACCGTGCCAAGAGGCTTATAGGTGACTATAGGTGAAGGCGAAGCTGCAGAGCCTTGAACACCGCCGTAAAATTGCCAGCTTATCGGTATTTTACAGGATATATCACGGAGAGTGTGCGATGGAATTACAGGGTTTAATTCCGCCTTCCCCTTTCCATCATCGGGGGACCAGATTTAGGATTGCGTATCACACCTATAGTGTGGATATTCCAAAGATTCACACGACGCGTTACGCTTCCACATTCATATGGCGAACGGCTATGGAGTGGAATTCCCTGCCTGCAGACTTATTCCCTGAACGTTATAACTTGAACCTTTTTAAGCCGAGAGTGAATAGGTATTATTTAGGTGTGTATGCTCCATCGTCGACCTTATCGTCACTTTCCATCAGGTGAGATGGAGATTAAATGCGCACTTACATTTCATAAAAAAAAATCATGTCCGGGCCCAATATTGCGGGACAAACTAAAGCTGAGAGACTCCGCTGGCTCGGACAGGATCGTGCCGTGATCGTACTTGAGTGGACGCCTATCGAACCGGAGCGACGAAAGTCCAGAAAGACCTGAAGAACCTCAGTGCTAATGACTAGAAGTGCATCCTCAGAGTCGGGAGGCGTGGCAGAATCGGATGTTGCAATTAAATAGCAGTAAAAATCCTTGAATCACGAGGAGTTCGTCCAGGGAAGTGCCGTCTTACCTATTTCTGCCGCCACGCGGTGATATGAGCATTGCTGCGTTCCATCTTTGAAGGGCACGGGTGCTGGTGGTGGTGGGCCCCTCAGATCTTTGCAATTCAAAGCTCTATTGTTATGGACAGGCGTGTCGCTTACCATCAGACGCACTACTTGTTCGTCCAATCAGTTAATATTATAAAAAACTTGTATACAATTTGTGTTGTCACTGATAAATGGGTTTTGAAATCGTACACGAAACAAACATGTATAAGTCAAATTTTGTAAGTCTCCTAATTATTTAAGCATAAAGAGATAGAATTTTTGAATCTCTCCCCTGAAAAATTGTCATTTTGCAGATGTGACCTTATTATACCATTGGGGCATTGGTGTGAAATGTATGTCTGGTTTTTTCTTGGGAAACCGCCTTATACACAAGATTGACTAAAGAGACCTTAATTAGTCCGTG